TCTTTAGCCTCCAACTCTTTCTTTAATCTTGTAATGTTATTTATAATCTTTAGATCCTTTGTTAACAGGTACATTGATTCCAGTTTTTTTATTTCTCCCATCAGTTGGTTCTCTCGTTCCCTTTCCTGTTTCTTCCTTATGGCCGCATATTTACTAAACAGTCATCTTAAGACTGCTTTCATTGCATCCCAGAGCACCTCATGTGAAGGGGGTTCCCTTGCATTCAACTCCCAAATTTCTGCCCATTCTCTTAAAATATTTTCCCTTATAGATTTGTTGTTAATAATATATTATTATTATTATTATATATTATTATAGATTTGTTGTTTATAATATATTATTATTATTAATATAATATCATCTTTTCCCCATGATAATAAATTATTATCATGGGGAAAAGATGTCACCACTGAAACTTTACCACCAATCTTTGTTTCCAGAACAAGCCAAATTTTTCAAAATCCAACTGTCACAGGAGCAGAAAGTGTAGTGAAATATTCTGAACATGAGCACAGACAGAGAACATGAGCACAGACAGTTAACCCTTCCCTATGCTATTTGGCTAGAGTTTTACAGTAGAATTAAATAAATTCAAGAATCGTATAGCTACCAATGGCCAGAAGCATAACAACTATATACTGCCTTTTGGAATACCTGTATTTACATATACATACATAATGAGATACCATGGAGATAGGACCTGAGTCTAAAGACAAAATCCAGTTATGTTTCATATACACCTTATAAGCAAAGCTTGGGGGTAATTTTATACTCACTAGCTTTAATAATTTTGTGTGTGAAACAAAGTATATGTACACTGAACCATGAAAAAAACTCTCAGCTACCCATATGGACAATTTTGGAAGATTTCTGGATAAGGGATGTTCAACCTGTATTGATATCATGACTTCCTTTAGGGATTCTCATAAGCATCTGGTTGGCTACTGTCGTAAACGGGATGCTGGGACTAGACAGACCATAGATGTAACCCATTGGATTTTAAAGAAAGCTATCTGGTTACAAAAGTACAAATATTTTTTCCAAAGATTGGTTCTTCTGATGCATTTTTTGTTGCTTGTACAAACTAAAATATTTTAGATTAAATGGCATTTAAGTCCAGCCTAAACTGAACATCATCTTAACATTCTTCGCCTTCATACTGGATGTTCTAAAATATACAAATACAGTATTTATTTTCATCCAAGTGTTCAACTAGTTCTTTTAACAGTTATCCTTCATAATTTCCTCATTTTAAAGATTTGTGATATATCTGATATTTTCATAGTAATTTTTTAAAGGTAAAGGTTTCCCCTTGACAGTAAGCATAGTTGTCTCTGACTCTGGGGGGTGGTTGTTACTGTCTATTAAATAACAAACCCCCCTATTTATTTCAACAGGAGAGTTAAAAACACATTTCTAGAAAGCATTCCTGTACACATGCATTTGGGAATAAGACACTATAAATTTACTGGAATTTACAGAAATGTGTGTCATTGGGCCAGGATACAAAAGTTCTTTTCCAAAAGCAAGTTGGAAATTTTCAGGCTTCAAAAATACTGTAGGATATTTTTTTTAAAAAAAAATGTCAGAGCATGAGGAATACTGAATGGATGATGCAGATGTCTGTTTTCAAATAAATCCTGTTCCACAATGTCCCCAACATGGCTAAAAGTGGATTAGACTGGGCATGTAGGTGTTCAGAGAGCCACGTAAGAGACTCATCAAACTGGACAAATTTAGTGTCCTACAATGCTTTCGAAATACTTCCTCCATGCTGCCAACCAGATGCCATCACATGATGTATGGCAACTTCTGGCAGGGTAGCGTGGAGGAGCCCTCAGTGGTGCAGCAGGTTAAACCTCTGAGCTTCCGAACTTGCTGACCATAAGGATGGTGGTTCAAATCTGGGGGAAAGGGTGAGCTCCTGCTGTTAGCCCCAGCTTCTGCCAACCTATCAGTTCAAAAACATACAAATGTGAGTAGATCAATAGATACTGCTCCAGTGGGAAGGTAACAGTGCCCCATGCAGTCATGCTGACCACATGACCTTGGAGGTGTATATGAACGCCGCTGGTTCTTCGGCTTACAAATGGAGATAAGCACCACCCCCCAGAGTCAGACACAACTAGACTTAATGTCAAGGGGTAACCTTTACTTTTACCTTTACCTTTTCCATGGAGGAAGCATCCTGGCTGCAGTGCAGGAAGCTTCCCTTGGCACACGGAAGGCTACTCATGTTGCATAGAAAACTGTGGAGTCAAGCTGCAGCAGCAATGCTTCCTCACATGGGATAGGGAAACATCAGCTGCAGGCGAGGTGGGGCGAGGTGGGGCTCGGAGCACCATGATTGCCCCACCTTGCCACTGATTCACCAGACTTTGATTGAATGGGGTTTTGATACTCTATTGCTCCTTCTACACATCTGTATAAAATCCATATTATTTGCTTTGAATTGGATTATATGGCATTGTGGACTCAAATAATCCAGTGGCAAAGCAGATAATGTGGATTATCGGTCTTGATATTCTGGATTATATGGCTGTGTGGAAGGGCCCTCAGACTTGGGAACCTGGCCCTATAAAGATTCCCATTCATATGAATTCTGGAACCACATTCAGCTGATTGCAGATCCAATGCCCTTGGCAGATCTTCACACTCCAGGTACAAAGGTCTCCCATACCTCTGGGTGTATGAAGATGTTTTGAAGGTGAGATTTCACAACCTACATATATCCTTATTTAGCTTTCTATACATTCAGATAAATGTCTGAACGTAGCTAGTATGGTTTTGGCAACAGACTATTTATGCACATTCCCTGCCAGTAGCCATTAACATTATAGACCAGTTGCTTTGTCCCAGGATGAACATGAGCATAATCTTTTTTTTTCCCCTTGCTGCTACTATCTGCATTTGCTCTGACTTCAGGGGTTCCTTGTAAGAAATCATAGGAATCACAGACTGCCTGAAACTCCATTATTCCTTACGCATGCCTTTGGATCATGTTCTTGGACTATAGCAACAAATATATACTTGGGAGGCAACACTGGGTGCAATATTTATGCACTGTATTAGGACTGATGAAAGAAAATGTGAAAAAAATTGGACAGGCTGGTGTGTGAGCCAATACCTGGTGCCTGAAGTATCATCATGGAATGAAGCTGAAGATGTGCATAGTTACTGGAGTTGGACAGACATTAGAATGAGCTTTGATTACCCTTCTCAATCTCTTCTCAGACTAGGCACTGAAAATAGGATTAATATACAGAACCTGATCTTCATCTATTCAAATCAAAACCAATTTCACAGACTTTTTGACATACATCCGAGTGTTAGTTTTAAACTTTTTAAACGTTGAAAATCCTTTGAAAAGTTGGGGGTCGTCTTATCTTCCGGATATACCAGATGATGAATGGCAGCGGCAGCGGAGCCAATGCAGCTGAGACAGCGGAGGAGAAACTCCGCTCGCAGCAGCCTGCCTGCCTGACTTCCAGTGCTGAGCAGGCCAGCCCTGGCCACGGAGGCCTACCACACTGCTCCTGGAGGCTTTAGACAGAGGCTGGAAGTCTCACTGGAAGCAGCAGGGGCAGGCACACTCACCAGCTGTGGAGGTCAGCACAGGCCTCCGCAGGTGTGCACCTTTCCCTCCTCCTCCCTTGCCCCGCAGATGCTTTCCTCGGTGGTGGAGGCAGGAAAGGTGCACGAGGGAGGAGGGAAAGGTGAACACCTTTCCCTCCTCTCTCGCCCTAAGCATGCCTTTACCACCACTGCCAAGGAAGGTGCGCGTGGGGTGAGAGAGAAGGGGGAGAGGTACACGCCTTTCCCTCTTTTGCCCCATGTGTGGCTTTTCTGCCTCCTCGCACCACTGCCCCCATGGCCACGTGGGGACCAGGAGAGCAAGGCCATGGAAAACCCTGCCATCAGGGCTCCCTCCTCCTCTGCCGTCGCTGCTGCTGCCGAAGAAGGCAAGGGGGGAGCAGGGAAAAACAGAAGGGGGTTGGACTAGATGGCCCTTGGAGTCTCTTCCAACTCTTTATTAGTATGAATCTTATTATTGTTTTTATTATTATTGAGAATGGGTGGCTGTCTGTCAGGGGTACTTTGATTGTGCATTTACTGCATGAAGGCAGAAGGGGGTTGGGCTAAATGGACTAAGGGATATCTTCCAACTATTTATTAGTATTAATGTTATTATTGTTGATGTTGTTGTTATTGTTATTATTGAGGCTGGGTGGCCATCTGTCAGGGGTGCTTCGATTGTGCTTTATTTATTTATTTATTTATTTGGAGTGCTTCTACCCCACCCTTCTCAACCCCCTAGGGGGGACTCAGGGCGGCTTACAAAAGGCACAATTCGATGCCCAACAGTTCACTTAATACAATATACAAAATACAATATAACAACAACAGTTATAACTAGTTAAAACAATCAAATTAATACAATAGCAGCAATAAAATCATCTTGTGATCAACGTTCGCCAATTCATAAATCCATAATCCATCCAGCATTGTCATTGTCCTTTCCCTGTATGAAGGCAGAATGAAGGGGGTTAGACTAGATGGCCTTTACAGCTCCCTTCCAACTCTATTATTATTATTATTATTATTATTATTATTATTATTATTATTATTATTCATGTTAATATTAAGGCTGGATGGCCACCTGTCAGAGGTGCTTTGATTGTGCTTTCCCTCCATAAAGGCAGAATGATGGGGTTGGACTAGATGGCCTTTAGAGCTCCCTTCCAACTCTATTATTATAAGTCATTATAAGAACACTGGATGGCATCCTGGTGTTGGCCTTACTACTGACAAGAGATGTCTTGTTGCCTTGTGCAATATAAAAATTAGTAAATGTAATGTTTAGTTTCTCAACCCAAAACAGCTGTTGTAATGAAACAGATATTTAATATTTCAATGTTATTCAATATTACCTGTGAGTAAGCCCCATAATAATAATAATAATAATAATAATAATAATAATAATAATAACAACAACAACAACAACAACAACAACGTTATTTATAGACAACACTATCTCCCCGAAGTGACTCCGGGCAGTTTCCAACAATTATGGCAAACATTCAATGCCAAAAACAAAACAATACAATTTACATCAAGGCAAAACACATTAGACAATATAGAACCACCTAACTGTAACTTAATATACAAAATAGCAAAAAATAAAGACATCATAAAATACAAAAACCCTGATAAAACATACTAAAAATAAATCTATATAACCGATTACACGTAGTGAGCTTTGTTTCTAAGGAAAAACTGCTAAGGATGTGACTTTTACCACCCACCTCCCTCCAAAAATACTACTGCCAACACCCCTAAACTAAATATATTTTTAAATTAGCCTCAAACCAAAGATTCCTCGATTCAAACTTTTATATTTTCCTGCATGTTTCGAGTACTGTGTTTACACTGGTATGGTGGTGATGGTCAAGGATAATCACTACTCAATTTGCTTCTGACCCGATTAAAAAAAACCCAAAAACTACTTCGGCACTTTTCATTCATTGACTTCTCTATTGCATTCCAATAGTTGAGCAACTCCCGAGGTTTTACAGAATGGGTTGCCACAATTTTCTTAAAGGAGCAGGGTGAAAAGGTGAGCCCATCTGGGAAGATTGTTTGCTTTGAATCGAGTTCTTCAAGTTCGATATTGAGCTCAGCAAGGCACAGTCCTATGAAAACATCCTCCAGTTTAACAAAAAGGACATTTTCAGAAATGTTATACACCTGACTGGCAACATCTGTTGAGAAAACATAACCTGTCCCTGAACAAAACGGAGGATATGTGTTTGCTGGATATTCTTCTTTGCTCACATACCACTTGCTGAATATATTCCGTATTGGACGCTCATTCAATTTTAAAAAACCAGTAAATAGTCTAGTACTTCTGTTTTTCTTTAGCAGGAGTTCTGTCAGATAGTAAGTATTCACAAATACATCAGAGTCTGTTTTCATCACAAAGCTGGACTGTGGACAGAATTTATGAAACCATTCAATGCCCATCATGGTCTTTCGTGTTAGGTTGTAGTAGGTATCTGTAAAATCCTTCTGGATAATATCTCCATATTTTAGGCTTTCAGCTGTAATAGCAATTTGATCGTCATGGTTCATAGTAGTTCCCAGAAGAAAATAGGTCACAATACGTTTCTTCTCTATCAGTCTTTCTTTGCCCCATGTCTCACGAATGGCCATCCGGGCTTTGGATTGTGTATGAGATGAGGTTACAAGTATCACCAGGAATGGGGGGTTCCTACTACAATCTGTAAGAGGCAGCTGAAGGAAGTTTCCAGTGTCTCTCTTAAAGAAACCAACCTCACTTTTTCTCTGACAGAATATCCAAATGCCATCAGAAATTAATTTGATAAGAAAACAGAAAACAATGGAGACCAGAGCCATTGTGAAAAAGAGCATCTTCTTAAGTCTTTTGGGAGCCATCTGGAAGACAAAAGATGTAAATGAGACACAGGAAAAATATTGGTCCCTTCATAAGTGTAAAGTAAAAAAAAGTTGGGTTGTTTGCATGGGTTGTTTTATATTACAATGAAGCACAGGGGGAGCAGGAGACAGCCACCATATCATATGAGTATCAAAGAAGAATTGGTATGTCATTTAACAGATGTCTGAATAGCAGCTAGAGTGGGGATGAATGTCTTTGGCACACAGGCTGCATACTGCCCCCCACAAAAAAAAACCCTTCTCCTGAAATCTGTTCCATTCTCTGTGAAGAGAGAGAAACAGAGATGTTGCTTTTTATGTCCCTCTGCACAAGGAAAGGGATGGGATGCTTTAGTTCACCAGTTCTCAACTCAGGAGTTGTGATCCCTAAAGGAGTCAATCTCTTTTTGAAGAGGGGTTGCGGTGCAGCCTCCTTTGGCCCACCCTCTCCCAGATCAGCATGGCACATAGAGGCTCCTCCTCCTCCTCTGGCAGCAACTAGATGGCAGAGGCATGCGTGGGAGAAGGTGAGGAGGTGGGCCCTCATGTGCTCTCCCCCCCCCCCTTTTCCTTCTCTGCTCTGGGGTGAGTAGCATGATGACCCTTCACAGCTGAAGGGGCTGCCAGGCCAGGCTCTCCTTGCCGTCTCCTTTGGCCTGTGGGGCAAGGCGCGGGAGAGAGTTGGAGGGATATTGAGGGCTCCATGCCCTCAGAGGGCATCGAGGCCCTCTCCCACCATCATGGGGAAGGAGAAGGAGCCCTTTTGATGACTCTAATCTGCCAGGAGACCGAATGTGGGAGTGGGGACAGGAAGGAGGCATAGATGAAAAGAGTGAATAACGTAGAAATAGAAAGATAATGATTTATGTTAAGTTACTGATATTAATATGCATTCAACATCAGAAATAACTTGTTGATTGACTAACATAGATAGGCATGTATATATCAAAATTATTCTTATTTGTTTATGTCTGCAATGATCTGTTGTTCTATTATGTACCATAACTATAATAAATAGCAATTTTTTAAAAAAAATACACCTCCTCCCCACTCGCCACTGTTGAATCCCCAACACCGACCCTCCTCAATGCTGCCATAATGGGAGAGGAGCAGGAGCATCATGAGGTGACACCCTCCCCCCCTGAAAACCAGCTGCAATGTGGCACCAGCAAGGGACAAATAGAGAAAGAGGCCTAGGAAAAGTGAGGCCCCATCCTCCCCATACACCATCGCCAAAGCCTTCAACGTTGGCCCTCCACCATCTGCCACCATGGGAGTGGAGAAGGAGTGCCCCAAAGCAACCCTCCCCCTGGGAACACTATAGCAGGGGAGGGAGAAAGGAGAAATGGCGGCCATGTGGCGCCAGCAAAAGGAGGAAAAGAGGCCCAGAATGGTTAAAATTAGGCTCCATCCTCTCTGTGCACCATCACTGGGGTCCACAGATGCTGTCAGAGGAGCCAGGGGGCCAGATGCCTCTCTGACCACCCCCCCCCCCATCCACCAGCCTACTTACAGACATCTTGAACAGGCATTCTCCCTCTCCAATGGTTGCATGAAAACCTTACACCAAGTTTGATCCAGATCCACAGTGCTCTCCAGATATATGTGAACTACATCTCCCCTAAATCGCTGTCAATTCTTCCCAGACCCCTCCAGTACTTTCTGTTGGTCATGGGAGTTCTGTGTGCCAAGTTTGTTCAATTTCATTGTTAGTGGAGTTCAGAATACTCTTTGATTGTTGGATGAACTATAAATACAAGCAACCACAACACCTCAAACTCCACCAGTGTTCAAATTTAGCATATTGAGTATTTGTGCCAAATTTGGTCCAGATCCATAATTGTTTGTTTTCACAGTGCTTTGCAGATGTAGGTGAACTACATCTCCCCTAAATCACTGTCAATTCCTCCCAAACACCTCCAGGATGTAAAGTGGGCCATGGGAGTTTTCTGTGCCAAGTGTGGTCCAAGTCTGTCATGTGTGGGGGTTGCAGTGGCCTGTGGGAGCCAAATCAGGTAAAGGTACTGCAAATCCCATCATGCTTAGTCCATCCTTCCCCAAACGACTACAGCGTGTGAAGTATATTATGGAGGTCTGTGTGCCAAGTTTGGTCCAGGTCCATCCTTTGAAGGGGTTGCAGTGGTCTCTGGAGATGAATTAAGGTACTGTAAATCCCATCTTCTATGGTCCATCCTCCCGCAAACTGCACCAGGACATAGAGTGGATCATGGGGGGGGGGGGGGGTATGTATTCCAAGTTTGATCCTGATCAGTCATTGGTAGGAGTTGTAGTGGTCTGTGGTAGCTGAAGCAATTGAATGTACTACAAATCCCATCATCTATGGTTTATCCTCCCTGAAACTTCACCAGGCCATACAGTGGGTAATGCAATGTCTAATTGCCAAGTTTGGCCCAGGTTCATCATTAGTTGGGGTCACAGTGGCCTGTGGAAGTGGCAGCCAATCAGAAAACTGCTATTTACAAACCCACATACTCACAAACACTGACTTTTATTATAGATTTAATTGAATGAATGAATTGAATGATATCGATATACCTGTGTATATATATATAGAGATAGATAAGATAGGTAGGTAGGTAGGTAGATAATCTGTATACATGTTGGAGCATGCAAGAAATCAGTGAGTGCATGTGTGTGTCAACTGTAAATAGGACTCCTGAATGGGATCCCATTCTCAAAGGTTAACAACTATATCATAACTGAATCTGTGGATCTGTTTTAATATGTAAAGTTTCACTTTGTTCAAAGTATTAAAAGATGTAATTGTATTTGTCAGTATGGTTTAGGATATAGAATCAGTATGGTTTAGGACAGGGGTCCTCAAACTTTTTAAACAGAGGGCCAGGTCACAGCTCCTCAAACTGTTGGAGGGCCAGATTATAATTTGAAAAAAAATATGAATGAATTCCTATGCACACTGCATGTATCTTTCTTGTAGTGCAAAATACACTTTAAAATAATACAATAATTAAAATGAAGAACAAATTTAACAAATATAAACTTATTAGTATTTCAATGGGAAGTGTGGGCCTGCTTTTGGCTCGTGAGATAGGACTGTTGTTGTTGTTATGTGCTTTCAAGTAATTTCAGACTAAGGTTGACCCTGAGCAAGGGCCGGGTAAATGACCTTGGAGGGTCGCATCCGGCCCCCGGGCCTTAGTTTGAGGACCCCTGGTTTAGGATATAAAATAAGAAAGACAATATTCTTATCTTGGTCAGATTAGCTATTTCAGTGTTTAAGGTAGAGTAGAACTTGTGTTTTTATTTTTACATATTTTTAGCTATTTTTTCCTTTTTCCTTTTGTTTTTTTTATCAAGCCTTCCCCCCCCCCCTTTTTCTCTTTTTTCCCATTTTTACCCCACTTTTTTACTTTCCCTTCTAGCCGCTCCACTCCCACCCCCATTAGCAGGGATATCTCCATATCCTTTCAACCATAGTTAGCTTTCCCCTCTTCCCTCCTCCCTCTTTCCTACCTGTAAATCTTTCCTACCCCCATTACCCCCCTTTTCTTTCCCTCTCCTTTCTTTTCTTTCCCCTTAAAAATCCAATAAAAGTATTTTTTTAAAAAAGGTAGAGTAGAACTCCAGTAACTGTTTGATTTTTTCCCAAAAGCCAAGAGTGTTGGAGGCTTGCAGCTCCCCAAATGCCAGAACATTTCAAAATAAGGTTTCTTTATTTTAAAACTTGTTTTTAAAAAACAGTTTGCGAAAGATAAGAAAAAGAGAGTGTTTCTAATGTAAATAATTGGTACATTAGAAAAAGAAAAGGAAGTCCCTGCTTCTAGAAAGAGGAAGAAGCAAGGAGGATCTGAAAGATAACCTAGACTTCCCCACATTCCTTATATAATAAGTTCCATGTATAGCCAAATAAACTATATAGTTTATTTTAATATAGTATTTTAATATAGTATCTTTTAACAGGTTCCAAGATAATATGTTTTTTAAACAGCTTAGGACAAGAGAAAACTACTGTAATTGCCATTAGATTAAGTGGGATCATAGAAGAATAATAGAAAAGGCTTTAAAAGAGAGAGAGAGAAAGTAAATGTAGATGTATAGAAAGAGAATGTCAGAAGATGGCAAATGCAAAGAGAATAAAGAGAGGAAGAGGTCAGAGAGAGGGCTCAGAGACTCAAAAGGGAAAGATGGTCCAGGAAAGAATATGAGGTGTTTTGAATATGTTGGATAAGTAAAAAGATGATGAAGAAGAAACTAGCATGTATCCAGAAGAGGACAAAAAGGGAAAGAAAAGGAACCACAGGTTTTAAGGAGACGTCTTTCCTCCAGGAAGCTGGCGTTTCTGCCACCCGCACTTTCCCCTTCCTGTTTAACTCAGGCACTCCTTGAGCCCTGCACCCAAGTAGAGGTGGAGGAAAGGAGGGAGGGCTGGATGGCAAGGGGAAGCTTCAGGGCTGCCTTTTGGCTGCACAGAAGAAAGGGATATAAAAGGAAGAAGAGAAGAAAGGGAGAGAAAAAGAACAAAGAGAAAAAGAAAGAAAGGAGGAGGGAGAAAGAGAAAGAAAAAGAGAGGGGAAAGGGGGAGAGAATGAAATGGGGAGAAAGAGAGAGAGCGCATGAGGAAAGACAGAAAGAACGAAAGGAGTTCTGTGTTAGCAGAGCCAAGACTGATTCCAGTGAGAGAGAGGACTCTTCCTCAGCGGGCCAGATAAATGCCCTCGACTGGCTGCATGTGCCCTGCGGGCTGTAGTTTGAGGACCCCTTCTTTAGTCCCTAATCTATAAAATTTAGCTCTCTGGCAGAGAATTAAAAGTTTAGAATAGAACCATATCCGTTCAAGTGGTATCTATCCACTTTTTAAAGTTCATTTGTGGAGTAAAAAAACACGAAAGGGTTGCTGGGCACTTTTTGAGAACACAACCACATAAGATGATAAGTCATATACTGTTCATTCATCCCTATGCATGTTTACTCAGAAGCAAAAAAAAGTAATGAGACTGGCAAGACTGTGTACAAACTGA